ATATTTGAAGTTTGACATTGTGCTTTGAAAACCCAGTTGCATGCATTCTTTATTTATTTTTGCAAGACACACACACACACACACACACACACACACACAGGCAGGGATTTGGAGGGTGGGGTGGGGGAGGTGAGCAGAGTCGAAACTTGATCCCAGGACCCTGGAATCCTGACCTCAGCCAAAGGCAGATGCTTAACCAACTGAGCCACCCAGGCGCCCTATATTTTCTGTATTAGCAGAAAACTATATTGCTATCTGGAGGGCCAGAAGTCACAGCTGCTAAAGAGAGAAAACAATTAGGAAGAGACAAAGAAGATCATTATTACTTGAAGGTCATTCATCAACCAACTACTAGCATTGTTACTACTTCCGCTGGTTTACTATGTTTGCAGCTCTGCGCCAAATGCTCGCCCATATAATTCTCAGAGCAGCCCTGTTATCCTGCTGTCCTCCCCATTAAACAGGCAGGTTAAGAAATCTGAAAATAGCCACCCTATTGCTAAGTGGAGAATCAATCTAAGGTTGCCTGATTTCTGAGCCCTGTTCTTCATCACAATCCTGTCTTGCCTGCCATTTTCTGGCAATTCCCCATCATCCCAGTTGTTTTAACCTCAATTAGGCCTCTATGATATTAATTCCAATCGACAGGGTAGAATTTTACGAGTGGAAAAGCCATCTTTTCCACTTTTGAGAAGGGCATCTCAAACAGAAAAGACAGCAGCTTAATCATAGGCAACAAACTGAGGGTTGCTCAGGGGAGGGGGAGTGATGGACACTGGGGAGGGTTTGTGTTGTAACCAGCACTGGGTATTATATAAGACTGATGAATCACAGACCTGTATCCCTGAAACAAATAATACATTATATATAAATTAATGGAATTTAAATAAAATAAAAGGACAGCAGCGCGGAAAAAGAGAAGTAGGAAAATCCAACCACTGCACTGCGTTAACACCAGTCCCTCGATACCGGATCTAAGGATTTGTGTAGGGTAACAGGGAGAAACCCTCCAGGAAAGGTGCGGTGAGCGGGAGAGTGATCAGTTACTAGAGTGTGAGGTTAGCATCCCAGATCAATCTCACGGGATGGTTTGGGATTTGGAGTTTGAAAATTTTTCAGTGTAAGGTAATTTTACGTTATCACAAAAGCAAAACCCTACTGTTTTCCACCACCATGATCACCATCGCCACCTGTTGTGCCAAGCCCTGTCTACAACTATCTAGAGTACAGAGTTCAGATACCTGAGGATCCTGTGGCAGTGAAGCGTGGAGAGATGGACTAAGCCACAACCCAAAGAAAACCTGGTTGGCTCAGAGCCTAGTGCACTCTTGGAAAACCTGCTGGGCCCCATTGAATATTTGCGGAACTAGCACTTAGTGAGCCTGTGGCCTGCGAGCAAGCAGAGTTCCAAACAGGAGCCCTGTTCTGTAAATGGGGAAACTGAGGCATGGACATTCAATTGTCAAGCCTTCATTCGGGACAGCTGGACAGGATTCAGGCAGAATCTGGAGACTAGGGAATCACCCGCTAAGGTCGGAGACAGTGCGGGGGGAGAAGGGAGGGGCAGTTCTGAGGCTGAGGTGATAGCCCACAGGAGGTCGTGCGCGGGGCGATGCACGCCGAGGGATTTTCGCCAGCTGTTCCGGGGAAGCGCACCCACCCGGATGCTGAGTCATGGCGACCTGGCGAGGGCTGGGAACCGCGCCTCCAAGGAGCTGCCCAGAGATCCTTGCGCGCTAGCCACTCTCGGAAGAGGTGGTGCGCACGCATCTACATGCAGGCGAGGCGGAATCTGCGCAGGTTGGGGGCAGCGGCGCGCACGCGTCTGCGTGTGGACTGGCACGTACGGGGTGCACGTGTGCGCATGTCCTCGCGCCGGGTGGGGAGCAGGATGCAGGGAGCACTAGCAAACGTCTCCGTCCGCACGTCTGGAATGGACGTGCGCGCGCATGTGCGCAAAGTCCAAGTAGGTTGGTTGTGCGCGTGCGTATGCGATTAGACACGCGAGTGGGGTCATCGGCGCCCCCCGCAGGCGGCGAGCTCATCCTGCGTACCGGTGTTCGTGCCACAGATTTTCCCTTTGACTCCAATTGTTAGGTGCTTGAAAAAAATTCCTTAGAGTTTCCACGAGAATAGAAAACTCCATAGTTACCAAAAAGCTGCATAATCCTGCCTGCAGTTCCCAATGTCAATCTCGTTTCACAGTTCTGGTACAAACTCTGGCATCGTGTATTATTCTTCTAGATTGATGTGAGAGCTAATTCTAAGTCGTTATTATTTTTTCTTTCTTTTTTTTTTTTTAAAGATTTTATTTATTTGTCAGAGAGAGAGAGGGAGAGAGAACGAGCACAGGCAGACAGAATGGCAGGCAGAGGCAGAGGCAGAGGGAGAAGCAGGCTCCCCGCCGAGCAAGGAGCCCGATGTGGGACTCGATCCCAGGACGCTGGGATCATGACCTGAGCCGAAGGCAGCTGCTTAACCAACTGAGCCACCCAGGCGTCCCATCGTTATTATTTTTTGGCTTTAGAATTTGCTCAATAATTTGCTCATCAAACACCTCGTTTGGTCTGGCTCCTCTGGAATTGTTTCACGCTGTTCTGCACTCTGGCCATGTGGCCACGAACGAGACTTGCTCCTTTCCCTTACGAAGCCTTCGTTCTAGTGAGAGGGACAAAGGCAGACTCGATTCCAGGGGAGCACTAAGTTCTATAATGAAAAACAAAGCTAGCAAAGGCTGGGCTTCTACCCAAAAGAGAACAGATGGAGGCAGAAGCAGGGAGCACTGTGGGAGCAGCAGGCAGGTGGGCATTGGGGGAGGGGCACTGAGGTTGGCAGAAGTGTATGGGAAACCCTGAGACCAGAGAGGAAGAGGCAGGAGCCAAGTGAGGACCAGGTTGTTGGTAGCATATGTGTAAGAACGTGATGGAATCCAAATGTGCTTGTAGATAGACTTATAGAACCTGCCAGTTGAGTAAAGGAAAGAATTAAGAATGTCTTCTAAGATTTCTGCCAGAGCCGTTGGGTGAATGGATGGTGGCACCTCCTCAGAAGTATGGGAAAGATGGGACTGTGAAGACTGAGTTTTATTTAAAAAATTTTTTAAAGATTTTATTTATTTATTTGACAGAAATCACAAGTAGGCAGAGAGGCAGGCAGAGAGAGAGAGAGAGAGGGAAGCAGGCTCCCTGCTGAGCAGAGAGCCCAATGTGGAGCCTCATCCCAGAACCCTGGGATCATGACCTAAGCCGAAGGCAGAGGCTTTAACCCACTGAGCCACCCAGGCGCCCAAGACTGAGTTTTAAAAGCAGAGACTGGATTTTCTTTTCAGCCCTGGCTCCTAGCAAGGGCCTTGCCCCCAGGTGACTTTAGATGTTCCAAAGAACATGACCTCCTGAAACAATCCTTCCTCCTCACTTAAGCCCACATCCTGAACCCAGTCCCAGTACTAGCCACATGCAGCCCCCCCACCACACTCACAGAGGCCTGAGTCCAGCCAGCCTCCCCTTGTGGAGTCAGAAGGCCAGCTGTGGGTGATACTTCCAGGAGCCTGCCCCCGGATGTTCCTCAGCATATGTGGCCGGGAGGCAGCTAGTCATGCTTTCCTTGGACATGGCTTTTTGGCACTTGAGGAACTGGCCATTGGAAGGGTTTATTTCCTCTGTGCCTCCAGATCAGGAAGCAGGTCGGGGCGCCTGGGTGGCTCAGTGGGTTAAAGCCTCTGCCTTCGGCTCGGGTCATGATCCCAGGGTCCTGGGATAGAGCCCCGCATCGGGCTCTCTGCTCAGCAGGGAGCCTGCTTCCTCCTCTCTCTCTGCCTGCCTCTCTGCCTCCTTGTGATCTCTGTCTGTCAAATAAATAAAAAAAAAAAAAAAAAAGGAAGCAGGTCACAACAGTGTCCACACAATGCACAAAGGACCATCTCCTCAGAGTGCCACAGCTGGCATGCCGTGTTTCAGCAACACTCCTTAAGCTGGATGCCCTACTTTGCCAGGGTCCCCCAGGTGACAAAGGAAGGGTCACCAGCCTCCCAAGGACCCTCTTGCAGCTCAGGTGTAACATCTGTTCAGGTTTCCACTCAACCATTGGTCATGTAGCCAGGCCCTGGGACTCCTCTTGTCTCCACCACTGCTGTGAATCGAAGTCAGTGAACAGCACCACGTACTGGTGTTGAAGAGGAACATGCTTGAATAAAAGGCTAGCATTTTAATATGCACTTCTAGTGTATTTCCTAGCACACTCATGCAACACAGCTGTTACTAAGCAGCCTTGTCCTGGGGTGCTCTTAGAAGGCTCTGGGTGTTGGTCCCCATGCCCAGCTTCTGGGCATTTCAGCAGAAAGAAGGCTGAGCAGTACTTACACTGGTAGGTTATAGATTAATGCTCATACCCATTTTCCTGAGTTCATGAAAAAAAGTTTTGATCAAATAATGTCTTGCTGTAAGTGAAAAGAAGTTGAAATTCTCCTGTAACCCACCCTCCCTTTGTGGTTCTCACTGAACAAGCTTTCCTTTTGCTGAGCAGGAGGATATCATCCAATGAGACTAGTCCTTGTCCCTGAAGGTATGGTCTCTTTGCCAGATATGGGGTCCCTGGCAGGGCAGGGGGAGAGCTCATCCCTGGGTCTGCTCCTTGGAAAGGCTGGCTGGGCGGTTCATAGTGCCCAGGGTTGGTGGAAGGTGGGTATTGAGAGGCCACAACCCAAGGAGAGAACCTGCATCCTTCCAGGTGGTCTTCTTCACCATGACATTGGCTCTGTCCCTACAGAAGCTTCTTCCAGCAATTGGCCTTAAAGCCGAATGGAGAGGTGTAGTAGGTCACCTGCTTCCTGCTCACCCACCCCAGCTCATCTTAATATTCCCAGTGGTCTTTCCTCTCTCGAGGTCTCAGAACCAGGGGCCGGGCTGACCTAAAAAGCAATGCGGGTGTCCCTTTTCAAAGTCATGAACCAGGCAGGGCTTCTCGTGTGTCTGCTGCAGTTCATTTCAAACAGAGATACAAAGTATTATTAAATGTATATTTTTAATAAAGCCAATAGTTATTTTACTTATAGGAGCTTTAAAAGTAAGATACAAAATGTAGAGTTCCAGTTTGGAAGCGTTGTAACTATTCACACGATGTCCTGCTGATGCCCGAGCAAGGCAGTCACGCCCGGCCGTGCAAAGGACACACACACTCACACACGCACACACATGCGCTTTGGCAAGACCCCTCTGCCGAGCGCAGCACCTGGAATTACCAGTGTTCAGAGCAAGGCGGTGCTGAGAACACAGCACCTACAAGGAGACCACACAAACAGCTTCACACAGTCTCACAGCCCACAGAGATGCGATTACAAAACGTCCCGCTTAATCGAGAAAAACAGACCAGAGAGTGACAATGTAGCAGTGTCAAGGTCACCTGCACTGGGGCGTCAAGGGCTGACCTCTGTCCCGGGTGAGGTCTTTGGGGAGGCACTATTGAAACAAGAGTACTTCAGTATAATTGAACTTGAAAATACAAGGTACTGTGGACACGTTACAGAAGGGAAACAAAACTACCTTACAAGGAAAACAGCCACAAACGCGCTCAGACATATACACACTGGGACAGCGAACAGAGACAAGAGCCACGCAGGGTTGGTGCAAAGCACGTGCCTGGAGAAGTCTATGTACAAAATAGTTCTCTGTAAACATGGTGAGGTGAATGTTCGGAAGCCACGGTGAAAGGATCAGAAGTACAGGCAGCAACGGCATCCCCACACAGCACAAAAGACGACACCCGAGGCCTGCAAACAGCCTGGCAACACAGTACTAAAAATTCAGATGGCTGGGCTCAGACACCTCAGGGGGCCTCTATCATTAGTGTGTATACATACATATACATATATATTTTTTCTTTTTGGTATTTTTAAATATAAATTTACTTATATCCGTAGAAAAATGAGAACATAAATGTGTTATTACAATCTCTGTTGGAAAAGCTTATATGGAGTTAGAAAGAATAAACCATTTATTAGTAGTTAACATATATATTAAAATGGTTTAATGATTTAAGAAAATATAAAAAAAAATATTAATACTGTCCAACTTTCATACCAGAAAATATTATGGATTTTTCTCAATTAGACTTTTTCAAAGATGAAATATGAAAAATTTAAATAAGTTTTATATAAAGAACTTCTGTAACCTCAATTAATATACAGCGGGATATGTCTACTCTGTAGAGATATATGTATCATTATTTCTCAATTTAAGCACCATTCATTTCTTCTGGATCCATTCTGGCTGGAAAATATCCCTAAATCCACAGGATGTTACCTCTTTAATGGCACATGTCAACTGAAAATGAGGTGGTTTTTTGTTCTTGTGTTTTTTTTTTTTTTAAAAGAAATGACTTTAAATTAATTCCTATCTACATCTTAATTGGTTTGTCTTGAGCCAGCTCACAAATGTTACTGCAAGTTCAAGTGCAGGTGTCTTTGTGCAGCCTCTTGACCACACCCCCAAGTTTGGAGACTGTGTCAAAGCCTCTGGCCACGTGTGGATCTGAGGGCAGCAGGTGCAATGTCATCCCGCACGCGGACAGCAGCCAGCTGGCTCATCTCCATGCACCATCAGGAATACGCCTCTCAAACGATCCTGGTTTTGTAAATCCAGTCAGGACTGCACCCCTGGGGTGCTGCTTGGGGTGGCAAGGGGCTGGCTGCCCACCCACAGAAAAAACAGGTGATTGCTTCCAATCACAAGTATTCTATACTCTGCCCGTTTTGTGTAAGCTTAAATAAAGATAGTGTTGAACAAACATCCAGCCTCTATATTTGTTATCTTAAAATATTCAATGCGTTTTAGGCGGGAGATGTTTTAACTAAAAACCTATATGAAAAATAGCTATAAAATACAGTGACTGATGTGGTCATCACTCAACGTGTTAAAAAGGAGGGGGAGGGTTTCAGAAGAATGGTCAGTTTTGCTCTCAGCCTTCAGGCCTGAGGCCTTCCCAACACACACAGTGGGACTACAAACTTGAGAGCTGTGTTTCTCAAAGTGTGGCCTATGGCCCACCTGCATCAGAATTACTGGGGGAGCTTATAGCTCAAAGATCCCCCAGCATCTCCCTGAGGGTCAGAAAGCTGTTTCCAGCTGGCCCTCCAGGGCTCTGATGCCTCCAAAGTTTGAGAAGCCAGGCCTTAAAGGCTTGGAGCTGCCAACTACCCACATCCCCAGGGATCCCTGCCTGGGACAGGGGTGCACTGGTCCTCTGGGGGGGCTGGTGCCAGCTAGTCAGCCCTGGGGTGGGGATGCTGGCCCTAACAGCTCTGGGCAAGGCAGGCAGGCTGCCCCTGGGTCAGTACTGGGGCAAGTAGGCCGGCCGGCGCTCAGCCTTCCCGGGGAAGGCCTTGAAGCCCTTGGATGCTGCCTTGTGTGCTGGTGGGGGTGGGGGCTGCGGTGGGGTCTGCACATAGGTAAAGGAGGCGGCGCTGCAGTCGCTGGTCGCGGCCCACACTGGCGACTGCAGCATCTGCATGGTGTCGTTCCACTGGCTGCCGGGGCTGGCAACTGCGTAGAGTGGGGTGCTCGGGCTGGGCAGTGTGCTGGGCAGCGGGGCCGGGTGCTGCCAGGGCGCTTTGGGGGGCCACGTTTTGGTTTTGCTATCCTGAGAGACAGAAGAGGGTTCTTAGTGGCATTCTGGCAATTCGTCATCTTTTCCCACCTCCCCAGGCCTCTGGTCCTTATCCCCACCTGGGAGACAGGGGAGGAGCCCCTCACCCTCCCCACAGCCCTGGAGCAGCACCGTCCAGCTGAACTTGCAGTGACAGAAATGTTCTGTGCCTGTGCTGTTCAATGCAGCAGACACTCCCCGCATGTGGCCAGTGCTACTAAGGAACTCAATTTGTATTTATATTGGATCCATTCCAATTTAAATAGCCAAATGTGGCTACTGGCTATCACAGTGGACAGGCACAACCCTAGGGGCTCCTCTACATCTGGCTCTGAATCAGGTGAGATGGTTAATCATGGGGAAAAAAGTTGTTCACCACAAAGAACCCCTCTCTGAAGCCCTCTTGAAACTTAAGCTTTGGAACCTCGCTCATGGTCTGTACCCCACACAGCTGGCCCTCCATCGCCAGAGCAGTGCCCATGGTACCTGGTTCACGTCCTCCACGGTGGTAAGAAGAGGCGGTGAGGGGAGCGTGCTGGTTTCCTGCTCTCCACTGCTGTGTTTCCTGAAAGAACCAAGAGCTCAGTGCAGTGGGCGCCTGGCTTGCTGCCCTGCTGACCTTGACACGCTGGCCACCTGGTTCTGGGCACTGGTTCTCGGTGGGGAGGCCCTGGGTCCACTGCACGCAGGGGATCGCGTGGTGGGCAGTGAACGGAGCACTCCCATGAGGCCTCTCGGCTTGGGGTGGGGGGCTGGCTCTTCCAGCGGCTTTCAGTCTGCTGGCTCTGGCTTTTGTTAATGCAGTCAATGGATACTGACTGTTTTCCATGCCCTTGGGAAGTGGGACTTAAAAGACTGTTAGTTTTAACTACAAACAGGAAAAATTTCTGTTATAATGTTGAACAAAAAAGGCAGGATGGAGCAAGCTCCAAACCAAGTAAATCAGTCTTCCGTGCTCCCACCTGCAGACAGCAGTCTCTACAGAGGCCACGCTCCTGGTGGCTTCCTTGCCGTCTCATCAGCCTCTCCGATTTCCCTTGTCTAACGCAGACATCTTAAATGCTACCCCTGGCTCAATCCTGCTCCTCCAGTCTCAGCTCCTTGGCACGTCCTTTCAGACAGATGCTCCAGCCAAAACCTCACATATCATCCCTGATTCTTCTCTTTCACACACACCCCACTGCCAGTCTCTCACCAGCTACTCCCTCATTGTGTTCGGCTGTCTGCTCATCAGAGGCCTCCCTGACTCCTATATATATCCTATATATATACATATATATATGTGTGTGTGTGTGTGTGTGTGTATATATTTTTTTCTTTTTTTAAGTAGGCTCCACGCCCAGTGTGGAACCCAATGTAGAGCCTGAACTCACGACTCTTGAGATTAAGAGCCGATATCAAGAGTCTGATGCTTAACTGACTGAGCCACCCTGGCGCCCACCATATTTTTCATCATAGCAACTAACTGAGCCTAACATGTTTGATTTTTTTCTTTCCTTTTTCCTTTTCCCTTCCTTTCTTTTTTATTTTTATTTTTATTTTTTGACTAGTCATGATGCCCAACGAGGGGCTTGAACTCATGACCCTGACACCAGGAGTCTCATGCTCTACCAAATGAGCCAGTCAAGCACCCCTACTTTCAAAAAACTTCTTAGACCTGAATATACTCTATTATGTTTTCTTTTCAACTTTGATGAAGAAACTAAGGAACAGAGAGGGCCAGGTCCTTGTTTGGAGTTGCAAAGCCTATCGGTGAGTCCTGATTAGAACCTAGTCATCCTGGTCCTGCTCCTTCCACAGAAAGGGTTGCCTCTTGTAAGGCTCAGACCAGTGTCCAGACCTATCTCCAGAACCCTCCCTTGCCTCCTACTGGTATTTCTGGCTCCTACTTGCATGAAACTCTTCTGCCAGTGAAGCCTCAACCCAATGTTAAGTCACCTGGGCTAAGCAAGCCCACGGGGAGCCTGGGCTACAGCGAGGCCATGCTAACAGAGGCCCTCTGCCTCTCTCACACCAGGCTGACTGGGAGCCATGGTGTTCCTGAGCTTTCCAAAGGAATGAGCTGGGGAACACATTCATGTGCCCCTCTATCCTTTGCTTTTAAAAATTTCTTCAGGGCACCTGGGTAGCTCAGTGGGTTAAACCTCTGCCTTCAGCTCCGGTCATGATCCCAGGGTCCTAGGATCGAGCCCCGCATTGGGCTCTCTGCTCAGCGGAGAGACTGCTTCCCCCTCTCGCTCTCTGCCTGCCTCTCTGCCTACCTGTGATCTCTCTCTCTGTCAAATAAATAAATAAAATCTTAAACAAAAAAAAAAATCTCTTCATACCTTCTCTGCTTGACAGCAGCCACGAGGTCAGGCCCTGAAAACATGGAAAACAAACTGTCCCCGTTGGCGGAGGATGTCTCATCACTTGAGCTGGCGGAGTCCCCCTGAGCACCAGACCAGCCGCTGTGCAGGCCGTCCCTGAAAGCCAGAGAGAGAAGCTGGTCCCGGGCCTCCTACAGCCAGCCTGGACACCAGCCGGACATGCCTGAGGCTTTCCACTCATCTAACAACCAGATCGCGGTCTCTTGTCTCCCCTTCTAAAAACCCGAGCTTTCCTTCCTGTCTCTTATTTCAAAAGTAACATGTACTCTTCGCTGCCCCGTATTCTTTTTGGAAGGCTTTGGTTTGCATGTGAAATTCATGTTAGAACAAAAAGCTGAAATGGTCGTTAGCTGTCCAGATTTATTAACTGGGTGGCAATAAGAGACATGCAAATCCACAGTTCTCTGGATACACTGGTATCTGAACCATACACATTTGCTTTTTGGAGTTTACAAGATTTGCATTCCATGAATCGCCTGGGGTTCACAGCCATGCCCATTTCAGCACAGAGACTGTGTTAAATATTCAGTGACCTCACAAACACCATCAGGTAAGTTCCTGGCTCCGGGCGGAAGAGTACGTGCCGAAAATCATCAATTTCTACCAATGGTGTGTTCACAGGGGCATATCATGGCACTCGGCATCTTTGGGTCTGTCACAAAACTCTGACCACCTGAAGATCTGACCAGATGGGCTTGGAATCATCGAGTTGTCTGATAAGAGTGCAGAGGGCCCCTGGGGATCCCCAGGGCCCAAACTCAGTTTCCCTCCACCCCCCAGCACTCACCCTTCTGTGAAGAACTCTGGGAAAGGCCAGGTCCGATGGGCATCATCCATGGGGGGCCAGTGGCCCCGGGGGTGGCCTGGGCGGCGGCCATGTTGCACTTGCCGCTTCTGCTGCATTGCCTGGCTCACTCCTGCCACGTAGCGAGCAAACTCAGGGTCCGAACCCACTGTGTTAATAAGACAAAGGGGGAGAGAGGGGTTGGGGAGAGTGAGGGGTTGTTTCTTTCCCTGCTGCCCGAGCATGTGCTGGTCACACACACAGTGAAAAGTGGGGAGGTGCTGCCAGGCTGGTGGCCCCAAGAGCTGTAGGACTGGGGCTTTCAGCCCAACATCTGACCTAGGGGACAGGGTGTGCACAGGGACTGTCAAGAAGGGTTAGGCCTAGGACAGAGGCAAGCTGAGTGGGACCGAAAGACAGAGAACAAAAAAGGATCCATGGTTAAAGTTTAAAGACAAATACCAGATACTGAACAATGTTCCCATGTCTGGTGCTACCTACATAACAACTTAGAAAATCATATGATTGGGGTGCCTGGGTGGCTCAGTGGGTTAAAGCCTCTGCCTTCGGCTCGGGTCATGATCCCAGGGTCCTCGGATCGAGCCCCACATCAGGCTCTCTGCTTAGTGGGGAGCCTGCTTCCTCCTCTCTTTCTGCCTGCCTCTCTGCCTACTTGTGATCTCGGTCTGTCAAAAAAAATAAATAAAATCTTAAAAAAAAAAAAGAAAATCATATGATTGATGTCTTTAAGCGAACTAATAACCTTAAAGTTGTCAAAGCATCAGTGTCATTGCCACTTGGCCCAATCTGAATCCAGGATTTTCCTGGATATTGGATGGCAGATCTACTCACTCTGTGTGAAGACAGTGAGTAATGAATGAAATGAAATTTCAGAATTTCAGAGGTATTAAGAGGTGACTAGAGGGGCGCCTGGGTGACTGTTGGTTAAGCGTTTGCCTTTGGCTCAAAGGGTCCCGGGACTGAGCCCCACATCGGGCTCCCTGCTTAGTGGGGAATCCCCTTCTCCCTCTCCCACTCCCCCTGCTTGTGTTCCCTCTCTCTTTCTCTCTGTGTCAAATAAATAATAAAATCTTAAAAAAAAAAAAAAAAAAGAGGTGACTCGAAACATACTGGCCGGAGCTGAGTAAGAATGGGCAGGACAGTACAAGTGGGAGGAAAAAACAGCATAGCGGACGCTGAGAGAAAAAGTCAAACAAGAAGATACGGCAGGGGATGGGGGACGCAAGAGGGGGCGCCTGGGTGGCTCAGTTGGTTAAGCTTCTGCCTTCAGCTCAGATCATGATGCTGGGGTCCGGGGATGGAGCCCTGTGTTGGGCTCCCTGCTCAGCACGAGGCCTGCTTCTCCCTCTCCTCCCTGCTCATGCTCTCTCTGGCTCTCTCTCCCAAATAAATAAATAAAATCTTAAGAAACAAAAAAAAAGAAGATACGGCAGGAAGGTATCTATGGTTCACAAGCTGAACATGACTCAGCAGTGTGTACTCAGAGCTTCAAGCTGGGAAAGATACTAGGGCAAAGTCTCATTCTTAGCTCATCCTCAGGGCACTGCCACAGGACTGCCGGTAAGACTGCGTGCACTGCACAAAGATGCCCACAACAAGGGAGGGGAGGGGCCGTGCTGAGATCAAAGCCCCCTTCCCAGTGAGTCAAGCTATGCCTCCAGGGGCTAAGTGTGCCCTGTCAAGAAGGGGCACTCTGTGAGAGAACTGGCCTTGCCCGAGATGGGGCCTTCCGTAATTTCATCTATCCAGAGCAGTGCCCTTCCTTCATTTGGGGAAAGGGCCATGCAGATCTGATGCCCTCAGGCCGGGGTCTGCAGATCAAGGACCTGCAGATCAGAAAGGACAGGCAGCAGAAGAAGCTAATAGCATTTGTAGCTTAAAGACATAGAGGCCATCCAGGACTCAACAAACATCAAAAACGGTAAAATTCTGCCAGAGAGTGTTTATACTCTGGACTTAATTGCATGACTATTAAAAGATGTACAGACTGTCTAAGAGCAGTTGAAAAAAATGCCCTGTGCGGCACTGCGCCCACCCCAGTCAGTGGCAGCCGGGTGGGGCCTGCTTTTCCGGAGCGGGATGGAACCATGGGCCCTTCCTGTGCCCCAGGGTCCAAGGTTGCCCACATCTACCAGAGAACAAGAAAGCGTGAGCAGCAGCATGAGGGATTTTTAGACAACCTAAGGAAACATTTCTTTCCATTAGTAGCTAATGCTGGGCTGTTTGAGCAGGGAATTCCTCATCTGCTGGTTATTTATATAAATATTTGCTATAGTTATTTATATATTTTACAGTATTCTCCTTAAGCGGAATATATTTTCCACCTGCATACCTTCTGCTACGTTAAAGAGTAATGCATTTCTATGTATTTATCTCTCAACCACCCACCTTATCAGATTCGCTAATTCGTTTTTTTTAAATTAAGGAGTCTTGTTGGGTATTTTCTCCCCTCCAATTCTGTTGCCAGCAAAGACATGTGCTTTCAGTGTATCTTTTTTCTAAAGCTTATTACACATGTCTGGCTGTATTTGCTAGAGAGTCCAAGACAAAGTTACATGCTACTGGCAGTAACAGTTGCTACTCTGTCTGGGTCTTGATTTAAACTGGAATGATTCTGTTTCACTATACAGAGTAATTCTTGCTCCTGGCTTTTGGTAGACAGTCTTTTTAATATTCAAGAAATTTCTTTTTTCTTTCTTTCTTTCTTTTCTTATTTTTAAAGAAATTTCTTTCTATTCCTGTCTTACTTGGAGGTTTTTCTTTCTTTTTTGTTTTGTTTTGTCTTTTTTTTTCTCTTAAGATTTTATTTATTTATTTGACAAACAGGAGATCACAAGTAGGCAGAAAGGCAGGCAGAGAGAGAGGAAGGGAAGCAGGCTCCCTGCTGAGCAGAGAGCCCGACATGGAGCTTGATCCCAGGACCCTGAGATCATGACCTGAGCTGAAGGCAGAGGCTTTACCCACTGAGCCACCCAGGCGCCCCTGGTTGTTTTTTTTTTTAAGTCACTGGTGGCTTTTATCAAATGTCTTTATAACTTTTATTGTTGTGTGACCTCTCATGCAATGGGGTGACACCATGGGTTACTGAGCAGCAGTGAGTCCTTCCACTGTCCTACCTGCCTACGCCGGCGGTAGTAACAGAGAACTGCCTTCCCATCACCGCTCTGTCATCCCACCTCTATCCACACTCATAAACAGAGGACTACGGTTTGCTTTTAAATAACCCTTATGAAGTTTTTATGGGAAAATCGTGTTGGCTTCATAATTACTGTTCCAATTTCTTCCACTGAAACAGATCTAGGCAGGTTTTCCACTTCTTGGCACAATTTTGGTGATGTGTATTTTATTAGGAAAGAAGTCATTTTTCCATTCAGTTTTCAAATATGTTGTCATTGAGTCGTACATAGTAACGTCTTAAACTTCTTTTAATCTCTCCTATTTCTGAAATGACATCTTTCTCTTTCTTTTTTTAAGATTTTATTTATTTGTTTATTTTTAAAATTTATTTATTTGTCAGAGAGAGAGAGAGGGAGAGAGAGGGCAAAAGCAGGGGGAGCAGCAGGCAGAGGCAGAGGGAAAATCAGGCTCCCGGCTGAGCAAGGAGCTCAATGCAGGACTTGATCTAGGACGCCAGCATTATGACCAGAGCCGAAGGCAGAGGCTTAACCAACTGAGCCATCCAGGCGCCCCTCCTTTCTCTTTCCTAATCTTGTTTCTCTTTGCTCTCATCTTACGGAGACTTACAATAAATTGGCTTATCTATTCTGTTGGCCTTCAAGAGACCTTTTTAGATTTTCTTTATAATTTCTACTACATTTTTCTTCTAAATTCAATTAATCTTGGCTTTTCTCCTTAATTACTTCCTCCTCCTAGTTTATTTTTCTCTATTTCTAAGTTCTTTTTCTAATTTTGTGAGATAAATCTGGTGGTATCTTCACACTGCTGAGGCCAGGAGAAGCCATATTCTCTGAAGGAAGGAGGATGCTCTACCACCTTTCATAGGTCCTGGCATTTAAGCATAGACCAGGTTATGTAATCAGGGAAAGAGCAGTTCACAAAGGGCCTGATGCCTTGGCTCCCACGAATAGGAGGGCCCAGACAGAAGCCCACTTCAATTTCGGGATGTGGAGCCGTTCGAGGAACTTCTCGTGGCCTCGATCCCAGCCTCTGCACAGAGAGAAAACTAGTGGTCCTTACCTTCCTCGTCTCATTTTCACCATGGCTGCTTACCTTTGCTGGATGTGTCCCATACTTGCCATCCAACAGCGAGAAAAGGTCTTTAAAGGGAAATTAGCAGTTCACTTGACCCCACAAGTAAGGCTGTATCAGATGGGCCCTATGAAGTCCCAGTGATTACATTTCTGTGAAAACCCCAAGGTCGGCACAGGGTGGGGGGTGGTCCACATACCTGCAGGATCAAAGGGCAGAATCTCTCCCAACATCCCAAAGACGCCATCACTTTGGTCACGGTTTGGCCAGGTGTTATTTCTAGGTCCCTGCGGCTTCTGCCCCAAAACCTCCGACATCACGTTATCCATATAGCTGCTCACCAGACCCAAGCTGTACACGTCAGAACTGAGATCACATATGCCAGGCCACTGGCCGAGAGGAGACAGACCTGCTCCAACTGGCTGGGCGGGCTGCTGGGCTGAGCCATGCACCCACTTCCCAGGGGCCCGAGGCTGGGGAGGGGGCTGCTGAGGTCCAATGGGCTGGAGCAGGTGTTGGTAGTACTGGACCTGGGGTTGTTGCTGCTTTGGGGACGGCTGCTGAGGTGCCAGGCCGGGCTGGGGGGTCAGAGGGGCGTGGGCTCCAGCCTGGGGTGGCCGCGGTGGAGGGGGCACTGGCAGTGGTGGCTGCTGGGGCGGCATAGCTCCTGCCTTCTGTTCAGTCACCATGGTTGTGGCAGCAGAATTACGCCTTGTCACCAATGGGGAGCCCTGATGTGACTGGCCCATGTTAAAGCCCGAGAGAAAATCGATCACCTCCTGCATTTCCTGATCGGTTGGTAAGTTCATGCCCTTCTCGTCCTTGCCATCATCCCCTGGCAGGAAGTTGTCACGTCTCTCCATGAGAAAACCATTGGCCATCTGATTACTGGAATTCTGTGCTGACTGTGAAGGGTCTGTAGTCCTAGGGAAATTACCAATGTTCAAAATGCTTTGTAACCTTGAATCAATATTGCTGGGCATTTTGGCCTTCTCTTCTGAACACCCAGCTATGAAGAGGTTTTTGGAAGGGGTATTTGGGATGGAATAATTTGTGCTGCTGCTAGAGCTGGTGCATGAAGCTTTCTTGGTGAACCGGGATGTCAGCTTGGAGAACGTCTTCTGCAGGCCGCCTGAGGATTTGTTCCCGTTCCCAGAAGGCAGGTCAGCCTGATTCCCAAAATCGCAGATCTCCCTTTGAAGCTGGATCTGTATGCAGGGTAAAGTTTGTTCCCTATTTCAACAGAAACATATTAAAAATTAAAAAAAGACAAAACACAAAATGGATCTCTTTGCATCTAAAAAAGACTTTAAGGACAAAAACAGTCTCTCTAGTTGCCTGGTGTCATGTTCACCTATTTTATAGAGAAATAAAATGAACACCCCAGACTTTTAAGTGTACATAGGACTGATCCAGCAGAGGGACGTGGGTAGGGGTAGGGCAGTGGGCAGAACTCAGTGACACCATGCAGCACTATTGTCTTGGCACAGACAGTGCCAAGAACAGACGCCTGTTACTTCCAGGGTTTTCCGAGAACTTTCCTAGTACCGAAAGAGAGCCCCTGAGATGGAAAGGGTGTGGGGCTGAAGCAGGCGACAGCTGCTGTGACCCTAGACATGCCACAGCAGTGTTCCGGGCCTTGGCACTTGTGAGTTCAGAAAGGGGTCCCACGGCCGGATGTTCAAGGTCCCTACCATTCTGAAGTTCATAATTCCTAGAGATGGTCTTGTGACTGTCAGCTGCTTTCAGACAGAAATAAATTTCATGTAGGATATTAAGTAAATTTTCTACACGTTTCTCTGGTCTTCGTTCATGAGAAGAATATGAGTTGGGCTAAAATCCTTTTGATGGACTTACTCTCAAATGGTAAAACCAATGAAGGCAAACATGTTAAGTAACCGAGGAATCTGGATAAAGGGTAGAGAGCAATGCTTGGTATGAATGCAACTTTCCAGTAAGTTCGAAATGATTCCAATTTAAGTGACCAAAAAGTTCTCTTTCTCGCCTTACTTCCTCACAAAGGATCTGCAATGTGAGCATGCAGGAGACTGTACGCGGGCACACCATCCCTGACTATGGGCCTGAATGTGAGCTACTTCAGGTGATCAGCAGGGACACCCACCTCCCTGCCCTCCAGCGGCTGAGGTCCAGCACGGCCGTGTAGAGCACATCCACCAGCCCCAGGGTCTTCTCAGGATCGAGGCTTCTCTGCAGCAGGGACATGGTAGCGGGGTCTTCCTTCAGGCACCTAGGCAGGAGGCAGCCGTGTCAGTCTGGGTGGTACTGCTCTGAAAAAGGGTCCCAAGTAGGCTTTGTACAAAAGGCTACAATGTTTACACGCTTTGGGCACCAAATGAAAATTCAGTAATTAAAGACCAGTTAGAGAATGACAAGGCTAACAATGGAACTTTCTGCTGTGCAACGGGAGGAGAAAGCCACAGGGGCTGCGATCACCCTAGATTTCTAATTCTCTCGAGTCTGTTTGGTAGGAAGAGAAGGGTTCAGTGGAGGGGCTATGTTCTGGGGGCCCTGATGCCCTCTTACTGTCCACACTGGCTCCACCCTTGACTTTCTGTCCTACTGTGTTCAGATTCTAGGATCTGACACCCTTTCCAAAACACCCTTGTCCCCAAGAAACTAAAGGTCAAAGGAGGGACAAACCTGGACTCACTGCAAACTTCAGGTAAGCAGCAAACATGGCCTTCTCACATGAGCGAATGTTTTCCCTTTCCAAGCTGACCACTTCAGCCCGCATCCCCTCTCCTCCGAGCTTGGCCATCCCTGCCACTTCTCCCCTTCTTTCCCATCACAACCCTCATGTCACCAAAAGGAGATCTGGTCCCTCTTCTTACCACTAATCCACCCCCTCGAGTGCCTGTGCCTGCACTACCAGCCTGCCCCTCAGGTTATGGTCAGGGTGGAAGACAAGGCCTGCTCTGCCACCGGCTGACTCTCCAGCTGAGCACTGCATGCTCTGTACCCTCCTGCTTTCCTGAGGACCCCTGCTCACCTAATCCTCCACCCCCATGACATTCACCTGGGCCAACAAACTGGCCTCACAGACCAGCTTCTTTCTCTCAGCCCCACATTCCCCTCCAGATAATGCTAAGTTCCCTACTCCCCCTTTTAGCAAAACACTTTGTCTCCTCCTCTTCCTGACCTCCTAGTCTCCCCTCACCCCACTCCTGCTGGGCTTTGGTCCCCATAACTCCACTAGAATAGCTTTTATCAAACACCTTTGATCTCGCCAGTGTCAGAGGTCAATTACCAGTCTCTATCTTTCTCAATCTCAGCAACTTGTGCAATGCTTCTTTCCTCCCAGAGCACTATCATCTGTAGCTCGGTGACCCCAGACTTGCTCAACTTTCCTCCCACCTGGCTGGCAAGCTCCTTCCTGGTCTCCTCTGCTGACTCCTCCTGCTCTGCTTCCCTGACCTTGGTATGGCGGCATGTCTTAGGCTTTGTTCTTTCTCCCCACAACGCTGCATCTGGTCCTGTAGCTGTACAGATCATCTTCCCCAGAAGACTCAAATTTCCTTCAGCAGCCGACCCCCTCCTCCCAAACCCCACTCTCCTGAATCTAACTGCACACTTGACATCTCTTGGGCACATCTAACAGGCAGCTTGGTCAGCACAAGTGCTTCCTCTCCTCTCCATCAAAAACCACTCTGAAACCTATACACTTCCTCTGTAAGTACACAACACAGCCATCTACCCCAAACCTCGACATCATCTCTGGCTACCTGCAACCCATGCCAGTCCACCAGCAAACCAAGCACTTCTCGCCACCTCTTTTATTACAGCTCTACTCCAAGAAACCACCAGCATCTGTGTCTCAGGACCAACCTCCCAGCTGGTCTTCTCTCCCCTACTGCTGTCCCTCCCAGCCCACCCTCCACAGAGAGCCAGAGTGAACCGGTAGCGCCAATCAGAACACATCACTTCCCTGTTTAAAACCCTCCAGCGGCATTCTGTCAGGACTGAAATAAAATCTAAACAACCCTTGGGGGTTTCTGTGACCTTATCCCTCCTGTATCTCTGACCACACCTCTCTCCACTGTCACCTCCATTACCCTTGTCCCAGTCACAGGCTTTGGCTTGCTCCCTGAATATGATGGATTTGCCCACATCTCAGGACCTTTGCTTCTGCTGCTTCTGCCCAGCCTTCTCTCCTGAAAGCTGCTTCCCACCATTCAGGTCCACGGTGCCCATTCAGGGTACCTCCACCAAGAGGCCTCTTCTGAGAGGCAGAACCAGGAAGATGTTGTCTGTCTGCTGCTAGGCACTCTGGCAGATAAGTGGTAAAGTCAACAACTTGCAAAGCCATCTAAGAAGGCAGCAGCACTCTCCAGCATGACTGAGGGCTTGCAAAGAAATAGGTCTCTGAGGATATGAGCCAGCCAGCCTCAGCAACACTGCGAAAGGCAAGCTCTGCCAGTGCCCAACCAGACCCTGGACTCCCGGGAGAGATTCTTGGCCGGTGGACCTGGCCAGGGTTCATGTACCCGAGTCTCTCAGCCTGGAATTCCTGATTATTAGGACATCTTTGCTCTGTGCTCCCAAGCCACTCCTGGCTGTGATTTGGCTGGTCACATATGTTTGCTCACTAGGAGAGCATTTGCTGGTCATGCGGAAAGAAGTACTACAGTTGCTGGGGAGATTAATTTTTCTTTCTGAAAATCAATAAATCGGCACTTTTATTAATTCATCAGTCCTGAGAGTTGATGGATAGAATCCCCTTAAGAGATGAAAACCATTCTTTTGGCAAATCACGTAGACTTGCTTAAAACCCTCCACCTGTTCTTAGAAAATCCAAGTCCCTTGGGGACACTGCAAGTCCTAGCTTCTGTGAGTCTCTCTCTTTATGACCACCCACCACATCTCTAGCCATGCCAGTTCACTCCTCAGAAATCCTTTCCCCATCTGCTCTCTCCATGGCCAGCTCCCTTGCAATGTCTTATCTTCAAGGATGGACCCTTCGTGACTGGCCTCACCCAAACAGCCTCCCCTCCCCAGTGCCACCCCTGTCATTCTCCATCATGTGACATTATTCTGCTCCTAGCCCCTCAAACATGTGCCAGGATTTGAACTGAACTCTTATGCTTGCTAGCTGTCCCCTCACCATCCCTCCCACTACAAAGTCGACTCTACTAGGGACAGAGAGCCCATCTGTCTTGCTCATACTTAAATTCCCAGAGCCCAGGCAGTGTCTGCCGCACAGAAGGTATTTAGTAAGTATTTGTTGAAAGAAAGAATGGATGGACTAAAATAAGACAGTTAAAAAAATCTAAATAAGGTATTACTTAATTTGGAAAAAAAACATATATGGCAATGGGACACTCCATTTTATTAAACGCAAAGCATATAATAAATTCTTTTTTTTCCCCCTAAAGACTTTATTCATTTATCTGACAGACAGAGATCACAAGCAGGCAGAGAGGTAGGCAGAGAGAGAGGAAGGGAAGCAGGCTCCCCGCCGAGCAGAGAGCCCGATGTGGGGCTTGATTCCAGGACCCCGGGATCATGACCTGAGCTGAAGACAGAGGCTCTAACCCACTGAGCCACCCAGGCGCCCCTATATAATAAATTCTTGACTGCCTTTGCTAACTATTTCATTTTTCCGAAGGTGGAGTAAAGCAATCACTTCTTTTGGCATTATTCTCAACAAGCACATAGTTTATACTTTGAAAGAAACAAAAATATGTATTTTGAAAGCTTTGCACTTTTACCAAAAGCAACCACCAGAGGGAGCCTCTCCAAGAAATTATAGTCTATAAGGTCTTTTGTGGAGGTTCAATGAATTACAAAGAATGAATTACTCTCAATGAATTACTCATGATACATAGAGAGTTCTGGAAGTAAATTGCAGTGTTCACCATTTTAGTACTAGTCATTTATATTCACTCAATTATTCAAAAATTCAAACTATTTTCTCTAAAATGAGAATCCTGGTTAAGTTTAATATTTTTCAGTAAGAACCTGAGTTGGAAAACAAATTAAGAATTCAGGGACACTTGGGGCACCTGGGTGGCTCAGTGGGTTAAGCCTCTGCCTTCAGCTCAGGTCATCTCAGGATCGCAGGCTCCATGCTGGACTCTCTGCTCAGCAGGGAACCTGCTTCCCCCTCTCTCTCTGCCTGCCTCTCTGCCTACTTGTGATCTCTCTCTGTCAAATAAATAAAATAAAATCTTAAAAGAAAAAAAAAGAATTCAGGGACACAAAAATCTTACAGAAAAGTGAGCTTTTGGCATGTTTGATAGGAATGAAGAAATGTATATAAATTAACAATATGTCATCTCAATAATCAAATAAAAAACTTAGTGGGGGAGGAAACTGAAAGAAGGGAGGTTTTGGGACATGAAGTAAACTTCTCACCCTCACCTGATATATCAACAAGTCCTAAGACTTCGGCAGAGTCTATCACTGGACCCCCACATTTCAAGGAGAAACGGTTTAAATAAAACTCCAGTGTATGACCCAGCTACCATCCTGGTCCATACAGGCACCAAGCGTGCCATCACGCCTTACTTCCTCTCTCTTTCTTCCTACCAGAATGTTTCAAAATTTTTCTATATGGTTAAATACTCATTCATATCATAATCTTTTTTAAAATTTTTTAAAATATTTTATTTATTTGACACAGAGAGTGAGATCACAAGTAGGCAGAGAGGCAGGCAGAGAGGGGGGAGGGAAGCAGGCTCCCCGCTGAGCAGAGAGCCGGATGTGGGGCTTGATCCGAGGACCCTGAGACCATGACCTGAGCCGAAGGCAGAGGCTTAACCCTCTGAGCCACCCAGGCGCCCCTCATATCATAATCTTTTTTTTTTTTTTTTTTTTAAGATTTTATTTATTTATTTGCCAGAGACAGAGGGAGAGAGAGTGAGCAAGCACAGGCAGACAGAGAGGCAGGCAGAGGCAGAGGGAGAAGCAGGCTCCCCGCCAAGCAAGGAGCCCGATGTGGGACTCGATCCCAGGACGCTGGGATCATGACCTGAGCCGAAGGCAGCCGCTTAACCAACTGAGCCACCCAGGCGTCCCCTCATATCATAATCTTAATAACAGAAGTCTTCCAACACTTTCAACAGCTCCGTTTTTGCAATTTATTAATAAAGTTATGATACCGCTCTGTTAGCTGGATCTATGCACATCACAAGGATAAATCCCCAGAGGCAGAACTGTAGAACTCCTGAGGTCAGATTTCTTATTTTAGGCTCCTGATACATTGAACTGCCCTCCAGAAAGGCCATGTGATTTATCCACCTCCTGTGCCTGTTTTTGCACAGTCTGGCCAAAACCTTTATTTTTTATTCATTTTTTTAAAAAATTATTTATTATTCTAAAACAATTTAACAACATCTGGGCAAAATGACATCATATTGTTTCTTTTTTTTTTTTTTAAGGTTTTATTTATTTATTTGACAGAGATCACAAGTAGGCAGAGAGGCAGGCAGAGAGAGAGAGAGAGAGAATGGAGGAAGCAGGCTCCCTGCTGAGCAGAGAGCCCGATGTGGGACTCGATCCCAGGACGCTGGAATCATGACCTGAGCCAAAGGCAGAGGCTTTAACCCACTGAGCCACCCAGGCGCCCCGACATCATATTGTTTCTTTACTCACCTTATCAGGTGAGGTTACACATTTTCTTCATCTATTTGTTGACAGCTGTGTTGTTTACGTTATTTTTTGGCTACCTATTCATGCACCTTGCCCATTTTCTTACTCCTTTGTAGGAGCTTCTGTTTTAATAAACTAAGAAGAGGGGCACCTGGGTGGCTCAGGGGGTTAAAGCCTCTGCCTTCGGCTCAGGTCATGATCCCAGGGTCCTGGGATCGAGCCCCGCATCAGGCTCTCTGCTCGACGGGGAGCCTGCTTCCTCCTCTTTCTCTCTCTGCCTGCCTCTCTGACCACTTGTCATCTCTATCTGTCAAATAAATAAATAAAATATTTAAAAAATATATAAATAAAATAAACTAAGAAGAATACTTTATCTATTGTAAATTTATAAATGTAATTAAATAATAAAAAATAAAAATGGCTCAGTCTGTCCCCATACTTCTAAAGGCACGAGCTCAAGATCATCAGGGTTGTTACTGGAACAAAGGAGGAGAAGGGATTCTATGTTCTATGCCAGCTTTAGAGAAATACTGGTGACTTAGGGAAAATGAGGTACTCTGTTCAAAAGCTGTGGACTCAGTAATAAAGAGAAGATAATATTGGTCATTATGATCCATGAGTACATAACATTTTACTTATATTATTGGTCAAAAAGACTATTTTTCAGACATCTTGGCTTCCTTCTCATGGACCGATAACCACTGCCCGTGTACCCGCCCAAGCAGCAAGACCTGACATGCGGTTTGTCCAAAACAAAGCAATCTTTTCAAAGATGTGTACACTTCAATCAGAGCCTAGGCTTGTGTTAATAGATGAGTCACGTTACCATGTGGACGGGACTTGAACCACAATTCTGGAGCCCTCTAAACTTATCTGGGGGGCATATGCTTCTTTATTTTCAATCTGTGCTGTGTCAACTACCACCTAAGAGAGAGAAAGAAAAAAACAACAATCAGCTTTCCGAGAGGCAAATGGATCACAAACAAATCTAATACATGAGCCTACTGACGTGAGTGACTCTGGCAAGGCGGTCATGCAGAGGCCACTCCAGAGCCCCAGGAAGACAAGCACAAGTAATAAAGATGACTGAAGACAGTTATACTTTAATGAGCAGAAACCAAATTCTGGGTGTAGGATGTACTGAACTTTGTAAGGACTTTCAGTACTTTTTCCAAACCATAAATATGTTAATTAGGAATTATTTTGTTTCCTTTATTTATTTTAGTATTTCTTTTTTTACTTTATGCACTTGAAAGAAGTAAAACCATCATTAAAAATCTAACCACAGCTTCAGAAAAGTCCATTTATAATGACTGAATACAAGCTAGAAGTGGATGAAGCTTTTTTAATGGATCATCTTATCCTCAGCCATCAATAAAAACAGAATTAGTTCAGAAAGGTAAAGATGATTCTTCCCTCACTGATTTCTTCTGTTCTTTTCTTGCCCCCCACCTTTTTTTTTAAAGCGAGAGAGAGAAAGAGAATGCATGAGCAGGGGGTAGGTAATGAGGGGCAGAGAGAGAGAGAGAAGCCCAAACAGGCTCCATACCCAGCATGGAGCCTAACGTGGGGATCTCACAACCCTGAGATCATGACTTGAGGCAAAATCAAGAGTCAGAGGCTCAACTGACCGAGCCAACCAGATGCCCCAATGATTTCTTCTTATTTGGAATAGAGTCTTTAACATTACACAGATGATGTAGTAGCCTAGGTAGAGATTTCGACAAAATGATGAATATATTTTCAAATAACTAATTTAAGAAAATAAGCATAAAGCACTTTAAAAAGTGCAAAAGTGCTTTATGTCGGTGGAGCATCCAACTCTTGATCTCAGGGTCATGAGTTCAAGCCCCACATTGAGTACAGAGATTACTTAAAAATAAATAAATAAATCTGTTATATTGCCAAAGTCATGCAAAGCTGCTTATTTTGATTCCAAATTCAGCCTCTAATGGAGCTGATTTCCACTGCTGCAAACAGAATTCCCAGAGCTGGTCTGCAATGTCCTTTGGAAAAGACTTCCTGTCCAAGTAATAGCCATTGTTAGACCAGGCAGGTGTTTCCTCTCTCCGCCCATCTGCAGAGCCATAATCTAAAGGTTCTTTGTCAATCTCACACAAAGGTACTCTGGGAGCAAGGAGTTAGGAACTGGAAGAAGTTTCTGCTCTCTCAATAACATGGGACTTTTTTTTTTTTTTTTTTTTTTTTAAACCTACAGTGTTTTCCCAGAACAGTCTGTGTCCTTCTACCTAACTTTACTCACTCATTTTTGGAGAACTTATGCCATGGTTCTCCTAGTTTCAGCTAAAATGTTCTCTGGGAATATGGATCAATTTCCTAGAGGCAGTAGGCTCTCACATACTTCAGCAGGGGGATCTCCAACTTACTCCTTACTCCTTCTCTTAGGGGTTCCTGTAGTAAGAACTAGAACCTAAAGGAAGCATAAGTCACCTGGCCCTATCCAAGGCATCGCACCCCTGAGCGAGGACACCTGAGCCCTCACCCACATGAAACAAGAGGTCTGCATCCTCCTCACTGCTCCATTCACAAATAAAGTAGGAATTAAAGTAAGAAACAGTTCTTTAAACTTTCTTAATCTCGAATTAGTCTGCTGTAACCTCTGACTAAAATGCTGTATGTTGGGGCACCTGGGTGGCTCTGTGGGTTAAGCCTCTGCCTTCGGCTCAGGTCATGATCTCAGGGTCCTGGGATCGAGCCCTGCATCGGGCTCTCTGCTCAGCTGGGAGCCTGCTTCCCCTTCTCTCTCTGCCTGCTTCTCTGCCTACTTGTGATCTCTGTCCGTCAAATAAATAAATAAAATCTTAAAAAAAATAATAAAATGCTGTATCTTTTCAAAAAGTAGCCATTTAATTCTAGAAAGTAGAATCAAGTATGTAAGGTTATATGGGTCTTAGATGCCAAACAAAAAGCTAGACGGTGATTTCAGATGTTGATTTCCTGATTCCGCCCAACTCTGACAGAAGTTACTCTTCTCTCCAAAGGTGAAAGGACTAAACTTACTTTATAGCCAAGAAGGAGAGAAACAAAGCTGGGATACAAAGTGACTGGTCAGGGGACGACTTACACCATGGCGGTTTCTCAGAGGAGGTGGTATTTGAGCTGACAGCAGGAAGCTAAGGAGTAAGTCACATAAAGACTAGAGAGGAGGAGTCCCGGGTAAAAGGAGCAGCCAAGTGCAAACGCCTGAGACAGGAAGAAGCCTGGCACATCTGAGACTCCACTGTCACTCCAGGGTAGGCAAGCCAGGTAAAGAGGCCCTCCCTGTCAAATCATTACGGATGTTGTTTTCTTTAAAATGAGGAAAACCTGCAACATCATTTTGGAGCTAGGATCCTGGCAAATACGTGCCATGAATCTATAAACGGAAACAAAAGGGCTTTTTAAGGCTGCTGTTCCTCTACCTTCTCCATGTGGTCTGTACCCTGCAGGACTGATGAACTTTCAAAATGATTCAGTATTTACACACCTGTGCCCAGACCACGTGCCCCATGCCGGACACACGGCTCCCTGCTCTCTCTCCCCTGCATCCCACTAGACTACTCACCAGTCCGGCCTGGCCAAAGAGCAGCTGCACGGCAGTCTTGCAGGCGCCCCGCCATGTGGACGGGCACACCTGGTTCAGTACTTCGGTCACAGGAAGCTCATCCCTGGGTGTGATTCCATTGTAGCAGCCCGCCTCCTTGATCAGCTGCAACATCGTATGCTACAGATTGAGAAGACGAGAGCTCACCGCCCAAGATAAAGCTGTGCAAAATTCTCAAATGTGTCGAAATGAATTGACAGGTACACAGCAGTCCTCCAGAAAAATGCACTTTTGTTTCAGTGCACCCCCCCATCACGTCATTTTCGTGTCTCAAGCAATTGTCATCAGATACCCTCAGAGAATACAGATACACGTGCATTAATATGTGCATGTGATTTCTATACTAGCACAAAATACAGCATCAGATAGCCATTTGCTTGATGCAAATCGGTGAGGAATTTGGAAATTCTGAATTCCTCTAAATAAGGAGACAAAATCATCTGGTAAAAACAAATACCAATGAAAACCTCAACTTTATTTTGGATGACCAAGTGGTCAGGTATGCAGGCTCTGGAAACAGACTGCATAACCTCAAATTCCAGTCTCCTCCTTTCTGGCTGTGTGAGCTCAGGCCTTCGTTCCTCCAGCCGTCGAACAGAACAGAGCAGCACCACCTCAGGTGAGCTTTAAACGAGACCGTGCACGTGAACCCTTGGCGCCATGCCCGGCACACAGGACGGCCCATGAACAGTCATAGTCACTACAGTAGTATGACAAGACTTCTTATTTAATTCGCAGAAGTCCACTAAAACCTCAATTATAAAATAGTATTTTTATAATGTACTTTCAAAACACTTTATGTTAAACATTTAACCCAACTATGAATAAAACCTGGCAAATGTCTCATTAAGGTAAGTCACCACAGTCTGCTCTTAGACACCAATTTACTAATACCTCCTGCTTTGACTTCAGTTTTGTTTTTTAATATCTATTTTTTAAAAGCCCTTAGGTGTCCCTGAAGAACTGTTTCCACGTTCGCACCCGGTTGCTAAAACCCCATGGAAAGCTACCGTCTTAAGTTTCAGGTTGTCGGCGGCCGATTCGTTGAAGGAGACGCCCTTCAGGAAGTGTGATCCTATCTGCACGGGGACGGTGGGAAGCTCACACTGCATGGGCTGCGGGGGGGTCTGCCGCCGCCCTGTCTGCTGTGCCTCAGCCTCGCTGCAGCAGCCCTGCGAGAGGTTTGGAGAGGAGAGGGGAGGAGACGAGAGGTGACCCACGGCACACCAGCCCCAGACACCAGGCTCACTTGGGGTGGCGGGTCTGCCACCCCACAGCTCCCTAGAGCAACCAGAGAGGAAAGCATACCTGTAAACTGGCTTCAATTGCCTTTGGATTCAGGTGGAAACCAGCTTTCATTGCATATTCACAGTGGCCTAAACTTTCCAGAGCTATTTTATAAGCCTGCAAAGAAGTTGTTTTGTGAAGAATCAAGATTATATAGATCATAAAATGATCAGAAAATGACATCATAAAATGACAATGTCCAGTGACAACAGAAATATAAAAGTTCTATAGTTAATTAAAAGGCTTCGGGCCAACTACCATCTTACTATTCTTCCCAATTGGCTCAATATCCCAACTTAAACTCCCTCCCATGTTCCTGCCCTCGGATAACTATGTGCCAGTTCTAAAACACTGACCTGCAAAGCACTGTCGATCTTCACGTTTAATTCTTTGAGCTGGTGCTCAGGAATCGGCGCGCTCTGGGAACAGAAGAGCTGCTGAACCTCGATGCCTGCCAGGCGGCCGTCACAGCCTCTTTCCCTCAGTCTGGATGTCGCCTGCAACAAGAAACAGTGGCTGATAGGTGACAGAGAATGTGAAAGGCATGAGCAATATTTAGAGAACAAGAAACAAAAAATCAAACACAACTAAGTTAAAGTGAGAAACTCTCTAAGCGTGAGAGGTACACCAGACATTCTGGATTGTCTGTATTACCAGGTGAGAAGCCAGAAATTTAGGAAGACAAAATCAAGCATCTTGAAGTGAGAGCAAAGCAGGGCACCTGGGTTGCTCAGTGGGTTAAGCCTCTGCCTTCAGCTTGGGTCATGATCTCAGGGTCCTGGGATCGAGCCCTGCATCAGGCTCTCTGCTCAGCGGGGAGCCTGATTCCCCCTTTCTCTCTGCCTGCCTCTCTGCCTACTTGTGATCTCTCTCTGTGTCAAATAAATAAATAAAATCTTAAAAAAAAAAAAAAGAGAGAGAGAGAGAAAGCAAAGCTGACACAGCACCACTTAAGAAACCCTGGAAAGAAGACACACCCGTCTGCTATTAATTTTGTTTTGTATGTCAAACCATCACATTTTTTTATTTCTCTGCTTTAAAATACAGAGAGGCTAGAATATTGGCACTTGGATTTTCCAGAATAATAATAATAAAAAAGAACATGTAAGGTTAGGTGCTCCTCTACACCAAAGTAAAAAGTCATGCCAACACAGGACAGGAAAAAAAGGTACATTAGAATGTTAAAGGGAAAATAGTATTTTTAAATCTGCACCAAAAAAATTAAAAACTTATTGTTTGGTCATTCAGTGTTTATGAAGAGTACATAATCAAGACAGAGAAACAAGAAAAAAATGAATCAATGTCTTGCTGTGATGAAATGTAAGTTACCTATCCATGTGGGTCAGGACCAGAGAGTACAGAAAAAAATATATTTAATTTCTTAGATGGGAGAAAGAATTCAGAATGAACTGTCCTTCAATTTTTCCATGTCCATTTTTGTTGCAACAATATTTGTGTAACAAATGACATTTTTTAACAGCTGATTTTTGTTCTTTTGTTCTTCTGGTTTAGGAGTTGTAAGATTTACCAAAATTGCAGTAAGGTAATTGGCAGCTATAATGCTATACAGTTCCCAAAGCTCCACAAATGACCTATGACTACCATTCCATCCAGTCCCTGAACCCCAAGAGTCCACAGTCTAAAACCATCTGACTCTCTTTCTAAGACTCTTTCACTCAACTATTTAACCCGCGAGGGTGGGTGTCACTGGATAGGCAGTCAAGCCCCACAGCCTGGTCCTTACCATCCTGGAGCTGATAGCCTCATGGGCCAAACTAAAACATGAAATACATGTAAAATGGAGGAAAACCCCAGACACTGAGACATCAGCATTTCAGTTATGAGTTCACAGAGGAGGCGGTCAGCAGAAGTGTGGGATGGATGAGCAGACATGTCAGCAAAGAAACCAGAACCCAGGGAGCAAGGGGGACAGTGGCCACAGATAAGGCTACTGAGCAAGGCAGGAACCAGACTGTGGGACGAGGCAGGTCAAGGTGAAGGGTCTATACTTTACCCTAAGGAAATAGCAACACCATCCACTTTTTTTTTTAATACATTTTTTTTAAAGATTTTATTTATTTATTTGACAGACAGAGATCACAAGTAGGCAGAGAGGCAGGCAAAGAGTGAGGAGGAAGCAGGCTCCCTGCTGAGCAGAGAGCCCGATGTGGTGTTTGATCCCAGGACCCTGAGATCATGACCTGAGCCGAAGGCAGAGGCTTTAACCAACTGAGCCACCCAGGCGCCCCAACACCATCCACTTTTAAATGGAGAGTGATGAAGGATGATAAGACAGGGAGGAGAAAATGGAGTTCATTTACTGCAGGTGTCAGGGAAGAGTAGTGATTGCCTAAATGAGGGAAGTGACAGAAAGGGACAGATCTGGGATAAAACTTTGGGGGTGGGACCTTCAGGGCTTATGGATTGGATGCGGATATGATGCAAAGACAGGAAGGCAAGTCTTAAGTTTTTTGGCATGAAGGACCCAGTGTGGGATGGCAGCACTTGCTAGCATGGGGAAAATCTGGGGAGCGCCAGAGGTGTGGGGAAAGCTAAGACTGAGCCATAAGGATACCTGAGGTAAGCAACAGCTGAACACAGGGGCCTGGAGTTCCTGTATTCCAGTGACCAGAAGTGGACTGGTCACACATATTTGAGGGGCCCCGGCACACAGGCAGTTTTTAAAGTCCAAGGCTAGATGGAGACCCTATAGGAGGAAGGGGGCCCAGAACTGAGCCTTGAGAAACTGACATTCATAAGTTGTGTTGAAGAGGGGAAGCTAGCGACGTAGACAGAGAGAATGGCCCAGGAGGTTAACACCGGGTTCAGGGATGCCACAGGAAGAGAGGGTCTCCAAGGGCCCATGTTGTCGTGAGGGCTGGATGGAGTCAGATGGTTCCCTGGATTTAGCCACACAGAAGGCCCCAGTGACCCTGAGAAGAGAAAGCCTGTTCTTGTGCAGGAATGGAAGCCGGATTTCAGTGAGCTGAATGATGCCATTTATATACAGTTTTGTACTGTGCAAAATAATTACTGATGTTCTCCACAGATACATGCATACAGAGTAAAAATATATAAATATACACAGGACTCACAAACTCCTAATTCAAAAGAGGCTATCACTACAAAGGAAGGGATGTGAGTAAGACAGTAAAAGGTACAAAGGGAACTCAGCTGCATTTGTAAATAATATTTTTTTCTGTTAAAAATAACAGGCATGAATGGGGCACCTGTTTGACTCGGTAGAGCACGTGACTCTTTTTTTTTTTTTTAATGATTTTATTTATTTATTTGAGAGAGAGAGAGAGAGAGAGCATGAGAGGAGAGAGGTCAGCGGGAGAAGCAGTCAGGGAGTCTGATGTGGGACTCGATCCCAGGACTCCAGGATCATGACTGGAGGTGAAGGCAGTCACTTAACCAACTGAGCCACCCAGGCGCCCCAGAGCACGTGACTCTTAATCTCAGGGTTGTGAGGTCAAGCCCCACACTGGGCACGGAGCTTACTTAAAAATAAGTTAAGTGAGTAAGTAAGTAAACAAAAGGCATGGAGTAGCAACTGGTAAAAAGTTAAGATTCACTTGATGAAGCTAAAAGGAAGACAGAGGGTAAATGGGACATTTCCTAAATGCTTGAAGTGTTTCATAATAATCTTTTTTAGAACGACTCAAAGGTGTGGTGGACAATTCTTCCAAGAAATTGGCTGTAAAAAGAGCAGAGAAACAGGGCAGGACATCTCTGGATACCAAAGAGTATTAAAGTGCCTATAAGAAATGTGCTGTCACTGCCCACACCCCACCTGGCCGCCTGGCCAAGCACGGACCCTTGCAGCCAGCTCTGGCCCGTCTTTCCAGACTGAGGCTCCAGCCTTTTCTCCCTGGTCCCTCTTCCTTGAAGCTCTGCTGCACGGCTCCTGGTTGGAGACAGGGCCTTTTCTCTGGGCTCCTGCACCCCGCACACCTCCATCACAGCTCTTTCACCCCGTTTTTGTAGGCCTTTCCTCTTGGAGGCTAGGGAAGGAAGCCGTCACCCCGGTGCCTGGCCCACACCCGGCACCCAGCGGGCCCCTTCACAGAGGCAGTCACCGTCAAATGAAGGAAAGAGGGAATGATAACATTCAAAACTAACACCTCTAGGGGTGCCTGGGCGGCTCAGTGGGTTAAAGCCTCTGCCTTCGGCTCAGGTCATGATCTCAGGGTCCTGGGATCGAGCCCCACATCGGGCTCTCTGCTCAGTGGGGAGCCTACTTCCTCTTCTCTCTCTGCCTGCCTCTCTGCCTACTTGTGATCTCTGTCTGTGAAATAAATAAATAAATAAAATATTAAAAAAAAAAACCCAAAACCTAACACCTCTAAATGAAATACTGGTTTTAGGAACCAACAGGCAAAGGTAGTCTGGAGCCTCCGCTATTTGAACACAGGGCACCCATCTCCCCCAAGTCAGGGTTACCTCGGCAGCGCCCCGCCAGGAGCGCACAGCTTCCTCCAACTCGGGCGTGTGGCTCATGCTGGATAAGCCGCCGCCGCCATTCTTCTTCTCTGGCACAACCACCTCGGCAAAGCAGGAGTGAGCCACGGGCTGGACCTTCTGTAAGGCCTGGGTCAAAAACTGGAAATGGACCTGCACCACTGTCAAGAAACATCGCCCCAACACCTGTGAAAACAAGAGAGCCGGGGGGGGGTTAGCGGGTGGGTCGCCACCGCCATCAGTGCAGTACCCTGTTAACCATCAGTGTGAGCAGGAGGTAACAGAACCCGGAAATGTGAAATCACAGCAAGTTTGACAGTCAGCCTGCTTCAGCACGATCTCTGTTCTCACGTCTGTCTGCACCGGGTGCCTCATGTCTACAAGCCAAAATGTTGCAACCGAATAGCAAAGCCCAAGTTTCAAATGGGCCTTCCCAGTTCCCACCAGCCCCCACTCCCCTCAAGTGGACTCTGGCTCACCCTAACCCTGGTTGTCTTTGGGCTCCTAACGAACCAGAGGAACCCACAGTTCCAGTTATGCGTACACAGGATTCAGAAGGCACAGTAAAAGCCATGCGAATGAAAATCTGAAAGGTCAGTTTGACCATAAGAATTTTATTAGAAATGGAATCCAAAGATACAAGTTATTTTGGTAACAGTGTTATTAACATAGCTGTATGTCATAATTCCAGTCTTAGGAAACAAAGAAACAAAGCTGACAGACCAGTCTTCTAGGAGTCAACAAAACATACTGGATGACTATTTGTCACAACAGTCAAAACTCACTCTCCTGATACCTGTCAGTAGTTAGTTGGTTGAGGGAGCTGTCCATCAGCAGGGACTATACACAGGGGCGCCTGAGAGGCTCAGTCAGTGAAGCAAGCGTCTGCCTTTGGCTCAAGTCATGATCCTGGGGTCCTGGAATGGAGCCCCGCATCGGGAATCCTTGCTCAGCTGAGTCTGCTTCTCCCTCTCCCTCTGTTCTCCCTGTTCTTGTGCTCTCTCTCGCTCAGGTAAATCAATAAAATCTTTTAAAAAAATACTATATACATAATACATGCTAATACATACTGTTAATATGTAACTATAATAATTTATATGCCAAAAAATACTATATACCATTAATATTTTAAGATACAAATGTGCAATGCCACCCTTGGCAATGGCCAAAACTATTCTGATTTTTTTTTTTTAGATTTTATTTATTTATTTGACAGAGAGAGAGAGAGAGAGCGAGCACAAGCAAGGGGAGTGACAAGCAGAGGGAGAAGGAGAAGCAGGCTTCTGCTAAGCGGAGAGAGTAAGAACTTGTCATATGCAAAGCAACTTGAGCAGAGAACTTCCAGATTACTGAGAAGTTCTCTTAAATTTTTAGTTGTTTTGTCCATACTAAATTTGACAATAATAACAAAACTATCTTTTATCATGTTCCATAACATTCACCATATTTTCCATGGAGGGTCTATCATATTTCATTGGTTCACACAGTAGATGACTTACTCAAGAAATTACTTTATTGAGTTTGCAATTTATTCAACTGGTAGGAGCACAGCTGAGAGGGCCCGCTTGCTGCTAGCACTCGGTGCACTGCCTTGGGGAGGGGAAAGGTTGGGGAACTGTTTCCACTGCCTTTACAAGGAACTAAAATCTGATCCTGGTGCCCACCCTCTGGCCCAGTCCTGTCCCCTGAAGCACCTAAAAGTAAGACTTGAGTTGGGCCTTCTCACATCCCAGTACACATTTTAGATGTTGTCCTTTTCCATCACCACTGGTCAGAGATCTGCTTCCTGGAGAAAGTCAGGCAAGTTTCAGCGGTAACATCTGTTCGCTCTGATTCTCCCCTGTGGAAGTCACCAGGGCCAGACTAAAACAAATAAACTCACACAAATCTCACACCAAACCATCAGCCCTCTATGGAGAACAATTAGAGGCTGAACTCCCACCCAAACCTCCTGGGTTTCCACTCATACCTGCCTCAAAGCTCCTTCTCATGACTAGTCTATGCCAGCTGGAGCAGGGTGAGGGACACAGAGGAAGCGTCCTAGCAACCCAGAGTCACGTGACAGAAACAGACTGAACAGCATATATTTCGTATTGTACATAGCAGCAGCTGGCCTTCACAGAACACTCCGTGTGTACATCACCTATGCTAAAGGTTTACCATGGAGCACCGCATTTCATCCTCAGAACAATGGTATGGAGTCATTCCCATTTTATAGACAGTAAGACCGAGGCACAGAAAGGTTATGAAACTTTGTCAAAGGAACACAAACTGGTTGTAACAGAGTGGTCACTTGGCTCAAGGGTCTATGCTCTTGGCCCCTGTGTCCCACTGCCTCCAACAGGCTAGAAACGGCTGGATACAGCTGTGGGCTGGCAGCACCGAGACCAGGCACATGACACACTCAACCTTAACTGGCCTAGGCCGGAGTGAGGGTATCCTGAAGCCCCACGCGGCACAAACACAGGAGGAGTGGAGCTGACTCCTCAGACACAAACTCTTCCTCCTCCTCCTTCCTCAGCCTCTTGGCAGGCTCTGGGGAGGTGGGAAGAAGAGGAAGTGGAGACGCCAGGTACCATGTGCTCTGGGGTCACGTTCTTACAGCTTCTGACAAATACAACCAAGACATTCATTTGTTCAACACGTATGTAGTGTACGAATACTGGGTATGTACAAAGCACAACAAAAGGCCAAAGGACACTACAAAAGAGACAGTAGCAAGTCCTTGTCCTCATGAGGGTTTCTTTCTGTCTTTGTGTTTTTTTTAAAAAAAAAGATTTATTTATTTATATATATATATATTTATTTATTTAAGGGAGAGGGAGTGAAGCACACTCCCCGCTGAGCGCGGAGTCGGACACAGGACTCCATGCAGGACTCAATCTCTGGACCCTGAGATCACGACCTGAGAGGAAATCAAGAGTCGGAGGCTCAATCACACTTTCTAATGGTGGGGAACAAACTGCTAAGTCAATATTGTATGTCGGGGGCTGCTGGAGAAGGAAAACAAAGGGGTGAGGCGGAAAGGAAAAAGCTCTCTGAGGAAAGGACTAAGGGAAGAGGAAACCACTTTTCCCCTTCTAAAAGGGAAAATTCTGGGAAAAGCCTGATGCGGGGTCCCCAGGTCCGGAATAGGCCCATGCTGCCTGATGGGAGGACAGGGCTGGGGTGTGTTCCTCTTGTGGGAGGAGGAGGATGCTGCTGCAGGGATAAGGGGGGGAAGATGCAGGACAGTTTAAAAGGCAGACATTCGCTATGTTGTCTCCACCATTTTTACATGTTTGACCTTGGATGAGTCATTTAATTTAAATTTCTTCCCTGTAAACAAGGAATGATGAGAACCAGAGTTCAGCAATCTCTCCCCTGCCCCTTCTCTCTGCCCTTCCCCAGGATAGATGCAGCATCAGTCCCAATTACAGCTGCAACAAAATATCTGTGTTGTGAACAAGTCACTAAAAGCCATCAAACAGAGCTCTGCTCTAAAGGCTTACAGTAAGAGACGCATAAACACTGTGTTCTCTTGAGAGAGGACACAGCTCAACCTCCAGCCTGCCTCTACCCATCTCCTGTCATAGTCCAGGTTTCCTCCTGTAACAGACCCCACCGGCCTCCACCAGACCTGGGCCAGTCCTTGGGGCTTCCTGACGAACCTGGAAGGAAATACAGACTCTAACGCTGTGAATTCGAAAGCATGCAACCTCAGGGCCGTGGGCAGGTATTTTGTCCTTTGCATGGAGACCAGTGCCTGGACAGTGGGACTGGGGAAACGGGTGAGTGGGGAGGTCAGAGACACTGGAGTTTAAAATGTCAGCGGACAGACACCTGCAGCTCTAACAGCAGCTTACGTTTATTGAGTGCTTAACCCATACCAAGCACTTTACTAACAGGGAAGCAACTCTGTGGGTAAGAGAAATGTGCCCATTTTACAGATGATAACACTGAAGCTTCAAGAAAGAAGCCTGCTCCAATGCCATGTAGGTGATAAGAGGTGGAGCAGAGACCTGATGCCAGATATGTTCAACTCCAAAAGCAGTGTTCCTAACCACCAAGCCACTGTCTCCCTAGGATATGGTCCAGGACGCAGCCACAATAGTGGTGGCTCCTAAGAAGAGGGGAAGAGCCCTGTGCAGGAGCCCTGACTTCTCCCACATGGTGTCAGGACCCAGGGTGGGAACGGAGACTGAGAGGCATGGCTCCGTCTTCTCTGGCTGTAGAAAAGGGACTGGGACAAAAGTTTCAAGCGGGACAGCCTGTGGCACTCCCTAGATGGCATGAGTCTCAAAAGTTTAATGATTCCATGGGGAGTTAGGTGAAGGGAGTTGGGGGAAATTGGAAGGGGAGGTGAACAATGAGAGACTATGGACTCTGAAAAATGATCTGAAGGGTTTGAAGAGGTGGTGGGGTGGGAGGTTGGGGGAACCAGGTGGTGGGTATTAGAGAGGGCACGGATTGCATGCAGCACTGGGTGTGGTACAAAAACAATGAATACTGTTATACTGAAAATAAATTTTAAAAAATGATTAAAAAAAGACAAAAAAAAAATTAGTGCTTCTGGGTGCCTGGGTGGCTCAGTGGGTTAAAGCATCTGCCTTCAGCTCAGGTCATGATCTCAGGGTCCTGGGATCGAGCCCCGCATCAGGCTCTCTGCTCAGCGGGGAGCCTGCTTCCCTTCTTGTCTCTCTGCCTGCCTCTCTGCCTACTTGTGATCTCTCTCATTCTGTCAAATAAATAAATAAAATCTTAAAAAAAAAAAAAGTTAATGATTCCACAGCAGAGAACAGCTGCTAAGACTGGCTGGAAACAGCAATTTGAAACAGGGAGAGGGTGCAAGGGGCTTGGGAGAAAGAGCAGCTTCTCCTGCCTACTGAGGAATTCCACATCCAAAAACATCTGTTCAGTCCTTCAGCACATCAGTCTCATTTAAGAATTATGAATAAAGCAAGTGGAATTAATTGACATTTGCATTTTTAAAAGATAAATCTGGGATGCCTGGCTGGCTCTGTCGGAGAAGCGTGAGACTCTAGATCTCAGGGTCATGAGTTTGAGCCCCAGGTTGGGCATAGAGATTACTTAAATAAATAAAACGTAAAAAAAGATTAATCTATCCAAAGCATCCCAAGTTGATGGAATTTCAGGCCAATTTCAGACTTCTGCATTAAAAGAAACCTTTCCAAAAAAAATAAATA